CCCCCCCAAGCCTGCACGCTCCACTCTCCATCCGGATATCATTATAGTCGCTAATCGCCACCACATTTGTGTCGCCTGGCCACCGAGACAGCAACAGACGTGGCAGGCAGTTTCCACTCCTGTTATGGCTGTCCCAGTCCCGTTCTCGCTGCAACTCTCTGCCTGAGCAGTAAAGCAGAGCAGGAGCACTACTTGTGTTTATTGTGTGTCGTACCAAAGACCCCCCGACTGTCAGGGAAGAGGGAAGGAAGTGTGTCGTCCTGCAGCAAGACACATGGCAGTTATCTAAATTATAACAACGGTTTAAAAATATGGTGTAACAATACAAACCAGGGTTAATTAAGTATGAATCACCCAGATATGAAGCTTCCAAGCCTCTGCTGCTCGGTCCCTCGCCTTTTCTCTGGAATTTCTCAGTGATTTAATCAGTTTCTTGATGTATTTGCATAACACAGCAAAGAAATTACACAATTGCAAATAGGATAACCTATATCCCTATGGCTCTCTTGGGAAATAACCATTTGCAGCATTATTTACAAAGGGTGTGTTTTTTAATCTAAATCCGTCTGTAAAACAGATGCTAATTGAATAACAGTCCTGCATCCCAAGGAAAAAAAATTAGTTTCTTATAAAGTGCACATCCAGTGTATTTGTGAATGTGACCTGATGCATGACCATAATTATTTCAGGGGGGCGCAGACTGTCTAGGGCTGAACAGCTAATTAAAATATTTAAATTTCAATACAGCCATGTGCAAATTCCTAATCCTAGGAGCGGAAATGTTTTTATGAATGTAAATTGTGTCATGTGAAGCATTGTGGTGCAGACTTACCCTCCACATACAAATCATATTCTCTGGACAAAAGGCAAAGTGCTGGTTTTCCCAGCAAAAACCACATCATTAACATTTTCATATTTTCTGCAGTGAAAATGAAATTCAAAAACTTTTCTGCATTTCATTCAGGCCGACAACTGTCCCTCTCCAATGTTGTTGTTTTACCCTCTGGACGTTTAAAGTCTCAGGAGAAATCATCAAGGGGCATTTATTCATGCACCAGCGCCTGCACCTGCCACTTGCTCTGAGAAAGATGGATGGATAGGGGAGACCAGCCCCAACACCATTAATCTTCATAAACACATGACACACATTTGCTGTGCTGAACATCTCAGTTTGCATCAAAATTCCACCACAGAGAAAAAGTATGATAAGATGATGAGACATTTTCATGAGCGTGGACAGAAACTGGCAAACTGGGTATTTTAGGTGTGTTGGCAAAGAGACAAAATTTGGCTTCATTAAAGGTAGAGTTTCCAATTAAGTTTCTCAGGTGAGATTGACGATATACACACAACACTTCTTATTTTATCTATTTCCATTTTTATACATTGAATCAAATGATTGTGATGAATTAAATGTATAGTGTCAGGTGCAGCACAGAAACAGTTTGTGTATTTAAATACATGTGTTAAAAATTAAAGTGTTAGGCATGTGTGTGTCTTAAATTCTGCAGCAGTTGCATGCATGTTAGTTTTAAAGATGTGTGAGTAAATCGTGGTGACTGCAAATGAAACAGATGTCACTCACCACCATGAAGAATCCACTCTCGGTGTGAAAATGAGCAGAAGCAAAATAAAAGTGCAGTATATTTTCGCGATGGGTTTGGAGTGATGCTGTATCTTTGTCCCATGTCTGATCCCCATAGCCCTGCTGCTGTCTGACACACCTCGAGATCCCATCAGACAAAACACGGTTCCTCCTCTCATGTGTTGACAGAGGCTGCACACTCAGGTGTGAGAGTCCATGACGGCTGTCCTCCGTCCATCATTGGGAGACAAAAGAAACTTCCCAAGGAGAAAACGTGGATTTATCTCCATCAGTGAAGCGCTGAGAGTTTATTAAAGCCGAGCTGTACATCCATTATCTTCTCTGGCGTCCCACATTGTTCTTACTGACAAAGCTGCGAGGTTTTTAAAGAGTCTGGTATTGATTCACCTTCTCCCCTCAGCTGTTGCGCACCGAATTTAAAGCCACTAATGCTGCAGGAAGTTCTTCTGAACAACATGAGACACGAGTGATAACGTGATAAAAGTCGCGAACGTCAGATGAGTCAAAGTGGGAGAAGTATTTCCAGAGGATGGGACGGACCCTGTGCGCACCTTTCCTCCTGGAGCCGGAGTAAGGATGCGCACAGAAACGCGCTGCGCTCCGGTGCGTCAGCTGTCCCTGACCCTACCCCCACCTCGCCCACCTCCCCCTTTGTCAGAACATTACAAACAGCGGTATGCAGACCTGCAGACAGCAGCGGTATATATTTAGGTCATTCCTGTCTGTGATTGTCGGCCACTTTCAAATCGACGCATTCATTTGCCCCAATGAGCTCTGCCCAGTAATATAGTCTATGCATTTATTAATGAGAGTAATGAGGAGAATTGAGCCTGCACTCAATTATCATTAACAGAAAATTGCCTTTATCATTTTGATAACCAATTGGTTTTCATCTTTTTTAAGCAAACATCAAATATGTGGAAAGACGTCCCTTAGTTTTGAGTTATTACAGGTAGTTCACTATTTTATTCCCAAAATAATCTGTAACAATTGTAAAAATACAATGCTTTCAGTCCACAAATCAAACTTTATTCCTGAGAAGCAGTTTCATTGAGCACCTACAATATATGTCGTCCTCATTTAAGCAGTCGTGGTATTTTATATAGCCCAAAATCAAGCATCACATTTTTACCTAAAAGAGGTTTACAACTTGTACACTAGACCTCGTCCTCTCTCATCAGACCCTCGTTTTAGATCAGAGGTTGTTACTAAACCTTTCAGCCTCTGACCCCAAAATAACACGGCCCCTCATCATCTGTGAGGGTGGTTGAAGTATAGTGAGATCGATTGGAGTTGTAGTTGCAGAGAAAATCACCTACGTGCACGTCACAATCTCAGTTTCCAACTGATGGTGTTGCTTAACTGGTGGTATCACTTTATTGGGCACGGATAAGGGCAAAGAATATTGAAAGGCTTCATATTTTGTTTTAAAGCGAACTACTTTTTTAAAATCTTTCGTGAGTAAGGCTCAAATATGCTATTTCTAAGTGATTGTACATTTCATCTGTCCGTCCCTGGTTTGAGGAGGCGTCTTAATTTAGCTGCACAGAATCAACCTCTTTCATGTTCTCAGTGATTAACTTCTAATACTCTAACACTAATCAATACAAGGTGTTTTTACATTGGAAAATGTTTAATAGTTGCCTTTAAGTCTAATGACTTGGGAGAGAGAAATATGTTGCTTCAAGCACTTGAACCTCTACTGGTGTGTCGTCCAGTCCGAGAACAAGTTTAACTCATTGAATGTGGAAACATATGACAAGGACATCTCTGGCTTGTGTCTGTGCGACTTCAGTGAGTCACTTGGTGCAGTGTTTGTCCAGCAGGTAGAGAAGAGCTCAGGCATTATGTGTGTATAAGAGCGTGAGGTGATTTAAATCAGAGGGGTGTTAGTTAGAGCCTAAGTAAAGGTCAATGTGTGTGTGTGTGTGTGTGTGTGTGTGTGTGTGTGTGTGTGTGTGTGTGTGTGTGTGTGTGTGTATGTAATCTGTTTTCTGGGAGTTCAGTAGGACTTTGCAAATTATACATTGTATGATTAGCACTTCGTTATTTTTCATCTTTTTATTCTCTAAGTTCTCAGCAGTGCAGACCACATGCTTTCAAATCTATGTCTCTTATTCTATATTCGATAGCCCCAGCTGTTTGTCCTTCAGTTATGTCTTATCTGGATTTGGAGTGACACTTGGATCCTCATTACATGTGACCATGTCTTTCTTTACCCGAGGACAAGATATGGACTTTCCAGTGACAACTACATAACAAATTGCTTTACAGTGAGCAGGTGATGATGGCGATAACACTCGTCATTGGGCCGTTCCTCTTGTCTCGCCTTGAGCCAGCTCCAGCTGTGGTCTTTAGGAGGCTCAGCACGGGGGCCTGACCTCCTATTCTAGGCCCGTCTCATGACCTGGGCTAAATCTAGAGCGAGGAAAAGAAAAGTACAGCAACAGAATATGAAAGATTTTACAAAATGAGTGCTCAGTTGGTAGTTTTGCGACCAGTTATCAGTGATGGGAGTCGTCGCTGATGAAGACAAGAAAATGGAAGGCTGGACGAACACAGTTGTCTTTCTTCCTTCTTGCAATAGGTCGTAAATTTCTCATGACGGGTTGGGTGCTCCCTCCTCGACCTCAGTTTTGTCATCTCTTCATACAACATTGGAACCATGGCATTGCAACCATGAAACCATGTGTGTTATTGTGTTTCTGCCATTTTACACCACACAGTCATAAAGTACGGCACAGGTCCGACCCAGAGGAGCATGTGGCTGCAGCAAACCTTTTCAAGTTCAAGTTCATTTATTTATGTTGCGCTCTATCACAAGTGCCTCCCACACGACATCACAGAGGAAGGGTCTTACAAATCTGCATCAGATTACATGCATTTTAAATTAATTCCAGGTTGGGCAAAAGAAATGCATACAACTCCTCCGAGATTTATTTTTATTAGAGCCTGATCGATTTAAATATTGCCCTATATGAGCCTTTCACACAAATTTACCAAAAGTGTTAACGCTGGTATGATTTGCTGATTTGTAACAGTATGATCCCTGTTATTTGTACAGAAAAATGCATTTAAGTTTAAAATGTTTATTTTCTTACTTTACGTTTCATATAT